CTGGTCAGCTTCAGTTACCTCTCAGCCCTGGGTTCAGTGTTTGCCAACAAACACGGCTACCACATGGACTCCAGTCAGGTACATTCATGGCAGTCATTATTTGTTATCGGATGGTTATGTTAAATCACTCAATCAGTGAATCACTCCTGAGGCACTGGAGAAATAATGTGAGCTTACTATTGTTATTTATACTGGAATAATCCCTGTAGAAGTTCATCATTCTGTATTTACCTGTAGAAGTACCAGCTCAACAGTTATAACAATGATTTTTTACAACATTTATGAGCACTTCCTGCCATTGTGTGTTTTCCCACCTGTCCCTCCCTTGATTGTTGCCACCTGTGTCCTCTTACCTCTTGCGTATATATAGTCACTTTGTCCTGTTCCAGTTCGTCTTGTGTCATCAAGAGAGACAGCTTTTTCAATCCAAGAACCATTGTAGCTTTTTCTCCTTGTCAAGTTTATTTAGTTGTGTGGTTTTGATTTGCTCTTATTACATGTTGCCTCTGTGAGTGATTTGTTGTTGCTCCTTGAAGTACATGTAAAGACCTTTTTTAGATTTTTGAAACCTGGTTTGAGTCCTGCATTTGAGTTCCAGTGCCTGTGTCACGTTCCTAACAATTCGTAATTCAAAAGGAGGCTTGTTTTGACAGTAAATGCTCTACAGAGGCCTCGATCCACAGCGACATTTACATAGAGTATTTAGCAGATCGCTTACCGTCTTTTCAAATACCTGCCGTGTGTCTCTGTGTCAGGACCTGCTGGCTCTGGGTCTGTGTAACACCGTAGGAGCGATGTTCCAGTGCTTCGCTGTCAGCTGCTCCTTCTCTCGCAGCATGGTCCAGGATAGCATCGGTGTCAAAACGCAGGTCTTCTATTCTATTCCAAAAGACAATCAAAATCACAAACTCACTTTTGCTCTGAAATGAGTTCTCAAGAAGTTCTTTATATGTCTCTTTTACATATTATGTTCTTCAATGTTGTTTTTTTTCTCTATTTATTGTCTTTCTGTTCTTGTCATCCTGTGCTAAGATGGCTGGTTTGGTATCAGCTCTGTTGATTCTGACCATCCTGTTGAAGATCGGTCACCTCTTCGAGCAGCTGCCAAAGGTAACGTTCATATTGGATTACAAAGAGTATGTATCTTAATCACATATGTTGTTAAGCAAGTAACAAAAGGTGTGTGTTGACAGTTCTCCAGCCTGTATGGCTTCCCATAAACCACCATAGATGACAATGAAATAATGGAGCAAATCAGTGAAGATGTTTGAAAGAAATGTCAAGTCATGCTCCATCTGGAAGAGACTTAGCCTCAGGATGACTCATATTAGTTCAGTCACACACTGCTGTCTGTTCCAGGCAGTGCTGGCAGTGATCATCGTGGTGAACCTGAGGGGCATCCTGGCTCAGTTCAAAGATGTGTGTGTGCTCTGGAAGTCTGACAGATTAGACCTGGTGGGCTACACACACACACACACACACACACACACACACACACACACACACACACACACACACACACACACACACACACACACACACACACACACACACACACACACACACACACACACACACACACACACACACACACACACACTAACATCATTATCTAAACTCATAGCATAAATTCATTGCTACAAACACCACTGGTCCCCCCCCCCCTCTCCTCCTCTCTAAAGCTGGTGTGGGTCTTCACACTGATTTCCACACTGGTGTTTAACCTGGACCTGGGTCTGGCTGTGGCCGTGGTCTTCTCTCTGCTCACACTCATCTACAGGACTCAACAGTCAGTATCATTCAACAGCTCATTTCACATCAGTTACTGTTTCATTATTATCAGACGGTATGTTTATTGGTTGCCATTCCATTCAAATTTAAAGAAAATAAAAATAATATGTTTATGATATAAAGAAATATGGCTTTGACATAAAAGTCTACTCAAAAAAATAAACATGGAATTATAATATAAAATACCCTGAAATAAATAAATGTTGATTAATGAAATAGAAGTCCCTAAAATAGAAAATAAACATCCTTTTATAAAAAATATTATAAAACACTATTCTTTCTAAAAAATATTTTGTTTTGTTTTTTTGTTTTTTTTTGTTAGCATATTTAGTTACTATTTTATTATATATTTAATTTTGGACCTGCATACATTATCAGGGTGGGGCAGTGGTGGCCTTAAAGTTTAAAAAAGCCAGCTCGTAACTTAAAGGATCAAATTGGGTCAAAAAAGTAAAAAAACAGCTGTCCCCTTGAATAGATAAATAAAAATAATTTGATATCTATTTGATTATATAGGGGTTAAGACTGAGAGTCGTGTTCTAAATATACTGTATGTGCTAAAGCTTTATCGTGTAGATTTATTTATTCATTCATTTTACTAATTTCATATTTTCTCATGCATTTTAGAAGTTTTGTAATTTCTTTGCTCCTCTCCCTTGTCCCCCAGACAGACGTGCACCCTCATTAATAACCCCCTGTCTCTCTCGCT